CCCCCCCCCCCCCCCCCCCCCCCATTGTGTTCACTAATAATATTAACAAAGGACATCAGGGGATTCTTTTAAAACAAAATCTAGGTACTAATGAGATGGTTAGAAGAACCCCATGTTAGCTTTGTCTGTCAACTGCATTTTTTTTTCTCACCCACTCTGCTCTGCACCATTTTCTATGTTTGCTGAAAAGTCTCTTTTTGCCCTTTTTCTAGCTTATCAGATGATGGCTTGTTGGTCTTTGATTCAAGAGGGCAGTCAGCGTATCAGATTCCAGGAACTCAGTAAGTAGTCACATTATGTGAACTGGTGTTGAGTATTTGTTTTGGTTTTTAAACAATATTCTGATTATTTTTTTTTTTTTTCTTGGGATGGAGAGGGGGAGGGGTATATTAATTAAGTGACATGCTATTAAGTAGTATTGCAAGGATGTTAGAAAACGGATTACAACCACACTCCCATTTGAAAAAGATTTGCTCCTATTTAAAACCTCGTCAGAACCCACAAAAATGTCTCATGTAATCTGAAGCTTGACTTTTGACTTGAAGTTCTGTTATCTGGACTTGGTTCAGCCATCTGGTCATGTGTAGAATCATACAGTATGGTGTAGGGGAATGATGTATACCAACTTTGCAGTGAGTGCACACAGCGATGATGCCTCTGCATTTGCTAGATAGTATCTGACCCCTTAACATATGTAGATTAGACACCATAAATGTATATTTTGACCCATTTATTACTTCTCGTAATGACATGGCTCTTACCACTTGGGTGCTGTTGGATAGCAGGGGCAGGGAGAGAAAAGAGCAAAAAGTTTGTCTAGTTTTAACGTTTGATGTAAACACAATGTTATTTGACAGAGAAATCTTTGACCCAGGGTTGTATACCGTGCTGTAAGAGTTATTACTTACTTACTTTACTTTTCATCCTCTGTTGCCGTTAAGCGTCGAGGGGAGATGCTGTTTTCTATGGTAGACCAACTCCGCAGCTCTTTCAGTTGTGATATTATGTATTCTGTAAGAGTTATTGTGACAGAAATCTTTGATCTAGTGCTCTAAATAGTGAGAGTGTGAGTGGATCTTTTTAGAGGTTGGAGGGATAGTATAGGGATAATGTGTGACAGCAATAATGCCACCAACTCTCAAACTAAAGATAGGAAATGAAAGTCTTCCCAAAGCAGAACATCCAACTTACCTAGGAGTCAAACTTGATCATAGTCTACCATGAAAAGCCAAGTGGAGAACATAATGAACAAGGCAAACAACTTTGAAAGAAACTCGCAAGCAGTTTATGGGGATCAGCCAAACAAACTCTGAGAGCTCTATACCTTGGTTATGTCCGATCTTCCCTGGAATACAGCAATAGCCTACTCACTATGTGCAGTACAACTACTTGCAACACCCTTGACAAGGTCCAAAACAATGCCCTTAGTTTTATAAATGGTGGCATGAGATCCACACCTACCGCCGCGTGCGAAATCCTTTCAAATGTTGAACCCCCGGGAATCCGCAAGGATAAAGCAGTTTGGAACTACATGAAAGAACTAATAGAATGTGCCCCAACCACCCAAACAGGAAATTAGTAGAAACATGGAAACCAAAGAAACAAATTCAACAAAAGTCAATCATTCATCACATCACAGAACTAATGGAGAGTCACCATCTACCACAAAACAGAAAAGAAACCAAAAGAGTCAACCAAAACATCCCTCCCCACCTTTCTTTAAAAAAGCCAATCATTACAACATCTCTCAGAGACAAAAGCACAAAATCTTCAGACCCAGTGACGCTGATGCTTGCATCACATCAAACAACAACTAACAAAAAAGTTGAACTAGTGTCTACAGCCTTATATATGAAGATAGAATAGTAAACTACCCTTGCTTTTTTGTGGCTTATGCCTCTGTTCTTCTGGTTATATTATTATTATTATTTTGGTTTTGGGGAATGATGTACCACACCTTTGCAGTGAGTCCTAACAATGATGCCTCTGCAATTGCTAGATAGTATCTGACCCCTTCTGTCAATATAATATGTGAGTGTACATGATCGTCACGTCTAACCGACACTGAGCACAGCGAGTGTGATTTAAGATTGTGAAGTATAGAAACAAATGGTGATATGTTTTGTTAAAGGAAGGTACAGGTAAAAGAATGTCAACAAATAAGTCAATGAAATCAAATGGTTTGTACATTCATAACATACATAATGTAACAGTCAATGAATGGTGTAACATAGATTACATGTACATAATATCTTATGCATTGTAGAAAGTCTCAATGATTACATGGTTAAAACCAAGGTCAAAATAAACGACATTCCAATCAACTACAATACATAATATTTCTAGTCCAAGTTATCTTAATACCATACCTAGATGTGCTTTTGGTCAAATTACTGTAACTGGATGTGCAGAGTCGTTCCGCTCTGGATATACAGTTGAAATGATACTAACTAGCGGGCATAAACAAATTAAATATAGATTAATTAATCTCGGATTTCCAAGAAAACACGTTTTGCATTTAATTTCCAAGAAAACAGATTCCGCCATTGTTTCGGATTTCCAAGAAAATGCAACTTTTGATCTCAAGTTCGTTTCGGTGTTATCTCAGGATATCTCAGATTATCTCAAGATATCCCACGGTATCTCACATTATTTGTTAAATGATAACTACATTCGGTGTTATCTCAGGGGGGGATATCTCGGGATATCTAAGTTCAACTCGATGTTATCTCAGGGTATCTCACATTATTTGTTAAATGATAACTACCGATTGTTTTGAGACAGAAGTTTGGCTGTGTTGTGAAGGACAGTGCTAGTATTGTTGAAGATGTAGAATGTTTCCTAACAAACATTAATATTTATGTTTGAGTGTAAAATAAATGTGTCATGGGTTGTCATGGCTGTTATTAATCATTGTCTGAGCCATTAGGTGATGTATGTATTATTATTATAATGGGGAATGATGTATATCAATTTTGCAGTGAGTGTACCAGACTGTGATGCCTCTGCAATTGCTAGATAGTATCTGACCTCTTTAATACATATTTACAAGATTATTGGTTGTATTTGTGTTTTGATTTACACTTTTGCCAGTTAAGGGTTTTGCTTGTGGAACCAAAGTAGTTGATCGAACCACGGAAAGGTACAATATGCTAAGTGGCTCTGAACCGACGGTGTTGTTTGAACAAAGTAAAAGTGAATGGGTTCTTTAGAGGAGGGTCCAAGTTATCAAAATGTAACTGACACTGACAGAAAAATGTTACTAGTGCCCACATATCTTGGGGGGGGGGGGTGGCTAATGCCTCCATTTTTATTAAAAAATGATTTAAAAAAAACTTTTTTGGGGTTTTTTTGTTACTCATGTGGTGGTTTGTGGTTTTGAGGAATGATGTATCACTCCTTTGCAGTGAGTCCACGTAACAGTGATGTCTCTGCAATTGCTAGATAGTATCTGACCTCCTATACATTAATACTTTATTTCCAGAGGGTATGTGTCAAGAGATTGTGATATCAAGTTCGTAGGAAGTAAACAGTTACGTGCTCAGAGTTAACATTTTGTGCAAACAGAGCCATGGGTCTGAGGCAGGTGTTTTTGTGATATTCCACTGGGGACTTAATTTTTTCTTTAGATTTTAAAGCATTAAATTAATGTATGTTTTTAAGTTATAATTTTTGAAGTGCATCACAATACTTATTCTAAAAATGACTCACTTATAACAGGTAATAATGTATTGGGGAATGATGTATAGCCTATTTGCAGTGAGTGCATAAAGCAATGATGCCTCTGCAATTGCTAGATAGTATCTGACCCTCTTTATACAGTCATGCAAACCACCATTAAGGCCCTCTGTGGAAGATGTGTGGTCAAATCCTTAAACAGGTGGTTTTTGGAGGTGTCCACCCCCTCCCCTCCGTATGTCCCTTTCTGCTGAGATGTTTATCCCTTTCACCCTCGGTTGGTCCTGGCAGGCAGGGTGGAAGCAGCCCACCACCTTCTGAATGATTTAGATTGTGTAGGTGAGGGTGTAAAACAAGTAAATTTTTTTTTTTACGTCACTTGGGATTGGCAGTGGCATTGTCCTGTGTCCATGTAGCAAAGGTGTTGACAGAACATGATTTTTCCTGGCTAGCTTGTTCTCGATGGATGTTGATAACACCCGCCCTTGTTCTGGCCTCTTCTGAGGGCTTCACTGTCATGTACAGAGTACGACCTGAACTGAGTTACAAGAAAGAATCAGGCGCGAGAATGAACTTTTTTACTTTCCCTCTATTGCTCCTGTCTGATTTTTTTCCCTGCACTAAATCGCTATTTATCAGGTCAGCATGCTTTTTTAAAACTCAGTTTACTATATTTTTCCCCTCTCCCATCCACAGAGCTGGTCAAGCATTGGCATACGTGACGATCCCGCCGGAGTCTCCAGGCTGGGGCTGATGGGCCCCTTGACACTAGCCATACTCTCAGCTCGCACTTAGTAAGTTGTTTGTACCAACATTCTTGCTTTGTCGAAGGGCTGCATAAAAGGGGACTTGTATAGTTATCAACTCTATGTCTCACGGCTGGTCACTTTTTGGACAATTACAGTGGAGTCCACTTGTAACGAGTCCTGAAATAACGAGAAGCCTGTTATAAAGACACTATTCTTTATCTTTGTAAATAAAATACTGCTATAGCGCAAGCAGACAAACACGCGAGTCGGTTATAGCGGAATATTGCTGCTGCTGTGCACAGCGCATAGGCCAGTTATACATGGTAAAACCTCACCCATTGAGAAACTTGTTGGTGATCTAGTGAAACCAGGGACCTTACATCAACTCCTTGAGCGAAACAAAGAATTGGAGGGCCCACATGTGCCAACAATGAAGGCCGGAGCGAATGAGTGGGGAGGGCGTGGTATGCGCAGACGAGCAGAACGCATCGCGTGATAGGTCAGCCTAGTCTACATTATCTAGGCCTACCACTACCATGCCTCTCACTTCTCCGATGCGGGGATGGAGAGGTCACAGTGCTGTGATAGATGAGCGAATGTGTGTGACGCGTGCTAGCAGATGCAATGCACCACTGGGTGTCGTGGGGAACAACACAGTGGGCGAGTCACCATTGCAAGCGCTAGAGATAGAAACCCGATTTGATTTTTGATCATGTAAGACCAAGAGGTCATGTTGAACAATCATCATCAGGGGAGAGAACAAAAAGAAATAAACAGAACTCATACATTAGGCCTACTGTATTATTTCCTTTGAATTTATAACTGGATCCCTTATAACGAGAATCCTGGTATAACGCACGTTTCATACCGGCCCCCTCCCTCTCGTTATAACAAGATTCCACAGTATTAGAGTTCTTGGCAGCATCTTAAAACTTGCTCACTTGTCTTGCTTTTGATTTTGATGGGAAAAAAAATCCATCTCTATTAGTCATCATTAGGCTTTTTTTCTCTTCCAAATGTTAAATTTAAAATATCTTGCTATGTTTTTGTTAACATTTTAAATGTGTGCCCTTTTTTTTTTCTTGATTTCAGAATTTGTTCCTAGCAGGAGAAGCAACGAATGGATTCCGATATGGGTGATAAAGCTGATCGCCTGTTGCTGTCTTGCTGTGTACATATTTGTATGTTCCAGTTCTCATTCATGTTTTATGGGGTTTGACAACTGCAAAATGCCCTCCCTGAGTTCATGTTCGTGCTTGCACTTTCTCAAAAGTTTTTTGATTTCTACATCTGGATTGACATGTTGACAAACTCTTGCAAGGGCATCAGATAATGTTGTTCTGTAGATAGGGAAGGAAAGTTATATGATCATATGACTGGACTTTTTTCCTGTGAAGAGATCTTTTACAACAGATATTCTATGATTAGTTGTGTCAGTACTTGTGCTATGCATGGATGTTCCCAATATGGTATGGAAGGTTGGATGCTGTACTGTGTGTGATATTGGAGGGAAAATCGGATGGATGGGAAAAAGTCACTTCTTTTTAGTTTTGTCGGGTGTGTTCCTTGTGCTTATTTTGTCTCCATGAGATTTGTGCAATGATCAATTTCCTAAAGGATGCTTATCATATTGAGAAAAAAGATTTTGAGTTTTCTGTTTGATAGAACAGCTTTATGAGTATTGGCCTTCAAGCATATGTGAGACAGCGTGGTGAAATCAGGCGCTCGTCAAAATAATTAAATCGAAGAAAGCAGCATTTTTCTGGATGTTGGGCAATTTTTAAAGACTTCTTTTTTTGGCTTTACATGTTTTATAAACATTTTAAAACACATTTTTGTAGGGGAGTAACTGAAAAGCGTTGATTAAAGACACAAAAGGTATAAATTTACAGTTTCAAAAGATTCTCAAGCTATGGAAGTCCCCAAACTTTGGCGGTCATTTTCTCCCTAATCTTACTTCTGAAACCAGGCGACTACATCAAGTTCTATTCAAGATAAACGGGTAGTTTTTTTCCATTGAAATGTAGACAAATGAACAAGCTTCAAGATGATACCAATAACTCTGCCCAAAAATTGACGAGCGCCTGAATCCACCACGTCGTGACACATTTAGTGACAGAAGAAGACACTTTCATGATGTGTGTATTTTTCATTGGTATCTTGAGAGGGGGGAGAGCGGCTGGTTCTTAGAAGTTTCGTCAGAAAGCCTACACTGATACTGGTTGAGGTAGATTTTTTTTTCAGAATTCAGGTTGTTCGATTTCCCAATCTTTAACAGTGGTTGTGTACATGTTTGAAGTTGAGGATTAGGCTTTGAAATCTTTCCTGAAAATTGCTAACAAAGTGATTATATTAGCTGATATGGTTTGTTGTGTCTTAACACCGAAAAATAAGATTAACTGGTTTTATAGAAGCCTAGCTTTTTGTGGGGGGTTGCGTTTAATCTTTAGTGGTGCTCTGTCTGTCCCATTAGTCGAAATTTATTCCTTATTTTGTTTTCAGTCATATTTGTGAATGTGATTTTTTACAACTATTAGATTCACGAGATCTTCATGTCGTCATGCACTACAGTTCGATCGATGGATTGCAGAGTGAAGGAGCCTATTCATGACTCTAGTCTGGAACTACTTTATTAATGGGAAAGGCTTGGAAATTACAGTTTTTCTATATTTCATGATACACTGTTATTCTTTTGTCCTTCGAAATATTTTTGCCTTTAAGAATATGCAACGTATTTTACTCACCCTAAGGTACCTACCTTATGATTTCTAAGGACCTGGTTTCATCAGTGTATAGCTGTCCAGTGAAATAAGGCCTGTCTCACATGTTATAGCATAGAAGATGTGATTTTTTGACTGTTGATAGAACTTATAAGTGGGGTTATTTTGACACTTCTGAACCTTGTTTGTAACATTTGAAAGTGTAAGACTTGGAATTCTCTTAGGCATATTTGATCAACCATTTTTCTTACATAATTTAAAATAATTTTCCATGTTGTTTTTTTTCTTCCAATTTTCAACTTCTTTTCAGCGCAAGCCTCATCTTTGAAACAGCCATTAATTCATATAAATTGTTTGGATTATAAACATGCATTGTTCAGCAAAATCTCTGTCATTTATATCCAGTCTGTTTGCATTAAATTAGCAGTTTCCTGATGTATTGAGGTGTGAGTGTGAGATAAACCTTACATTATGGGATTGATGTTGGAGTTTTTAAAAAATTAGATCACTTTAACTTTCACTTTTTTGCGGTTTTGTAAACAGCCAGAGGTAATGATTACATTTGCATTACCTCTGTGGTGTGGGAAAAAGAATACTGATGATGTGTCAGGGATGTATTTTGAAATTGAACTCGCACACACGATTTTACATTTGTTTTATTCGCATTTTGAGATTTCAGGCAATTTCTTTTTTTATCTAGGGAAGAACATGGATTGAAATGTGGATTTTATTTTGATTGTTCTCGCTTCTTTTATGCTCCTTTTGTCATTCGTCAGTCGTGTTCTCTCAGTGGCTGCCTGTCATAGAAATGGTAAATGGTGTGTTTTGTTGAGAAGTTTTAAGTTTCGGGATTTTCACAAGTCACACAGTAAAAACTTGCTCATGTGTTTTGTGTTATGGGGCTGTTCAGTACTCTTTGAAAACGTCCATAAGACTTGAGTAGTAGTTTTAGGTACTTGTTCATGATCATTCAGAATAAATATTTTACTAGTGCTTAGGCATTTTTGACATTGTTTTGTAAATGGGTTCTAACATAAATATAAATATGGGAATTTTAGTATATATAGTGTTTCGCTCACATCATTAGTCCAGAGACCACAGAAGGCCCATCTCAACAAGATGTATTACCTGTGTGTGTGGTGTAACGGTTATGCTCTTTGCTGTTGCACACAGAAGGTGAGAATTCCTTTGATGACAGTTTTTTTACAGATATATCCATGCCTGCTTAGGTATTAATTCTATGAGAAGTGGGACTGAAGAGGTATAGTTAGGCTTTTGAATATGTATTGAAATTGCAAAAAGTCTGGCATAATCAGAAAAGTGGTGGTTCCCTTGTGTATCAAAGTGAAACTTTCTGCAGATGATGTGATTTTGCTCTTTACCAGCTCTAGAAATTTTAGGGGACTCGATACTAATTAGTTTTGTGATGGGGTTGGGTCATGGTTTATTTTTTTCTAAATGAAAGGTTTGCCTCTGATTTGCTGCATTTCATTGTCCACTTTATTTGGACACAGCGGTTTCCCTGTTCTTTGTAGTTGTCTTTCTGTTGTTGTATTTGCATGTTTGTTTTTTTCTTCTTTTTTTCGGGGGGAGGGGGGGGGTCGTTTGTGGTATTTTTTGGTCAGTTTTTTTCTTTTTAATTTCTGTACATGTGGTATGATTTCCCTAGTGTTTTTTGTTGCACAGAATTCCCATGCTACTTGTTATGTGTCGTATAAGCAAATCCTGACTGGGAAATTTAGGATGGTTTCCATGATACCATGTCAGCATAAGCATGATTCCATCCTCTATTTTTCCTGTGTTGTTCGTAAGTTATTCCGTATAGGATTTCCTTGTTTAGTCTAGATGAAAAAGTACATGCTGATCCTCACAGCGTCCTTTTTCTCTCACCCTGTTGTCCAGTGCATTGCCTGTGTTTCGCATTTGTTGACAAATATAATATTTTCCATTGGCATTTTGTAATTGAGTTGGATTACTCTGTAATGATAATTTGGCTACCAGGCTATCATATCTTGTAAATAAAGTATAATGACTGAAGAAAGGCTTATCTTGTCTCTTTGGTTACATGTAAATGACTGAATTTTTAAAGGTCAGTGGGTGGGTGGTTGGCGGGTGCTCTGGTGTGGTTTGTTTCTTCTTTCCTATTGTCCTTATCTCCCCTTCTTCTTTTTTATGTTTGTTACTCTTTTGTAACACCTAATCTTCTGGCGCTCATATGATCTTTATATGCAGTTGCGAGCACCGTAAAACCTCTACTTAAACTTTTTAAAAAGGTGAGTGGGGGGTGCTACTGTACTGGTACATCCCACTTCTTCCCTCTGTTCCTCCTCCATCTTGCTTTTTCCTTGCATCAAAATTCAAATAGCCTAACCGTTATTGTGTCAATGTGCTTTCTATTCAAGGAATATACAGTGGAACTCGGATTCAACGAGGTCGCCGGGCCAGACCTAAAATCTCGTTGAATCCGAGTGTTCGTTATAGCAAACATGAGGTTTTGTGCAGATAATTACAGGCACTGAGCAAGTAATGTGTAAAGAGAAGTCGCAAGTAGTGCCTGGAATGCCTGCATATTATGAGCTGTGTAAAAAAAAAAAAAGACAGATTCGTTCAAAATCACGCCTGTGTCATCTCGATTGTTTACCAAAAAGTTGTGTTCCTGTGTAGAGCCTGGCATATGATAACTTTTGATTACATAGACCAGCGCACAATTCATTATGTAGATCTACGTCAAGCTTATCAATTATCATTGTAATAATGATCAGTTGCCGAGGGGGAAAAAAACTGACGCGTTTGTATCTGCGACGTTCAGCGCCAGGACCGCTATTGCCCCCCCCCCCGACACCCATGCAGGCCGCCCATCCGACCCTGACACACGCCAGAGTAGACACGTTTGCGTGTCAACAACGCATGTGTTGGTATGAAAAAAGGCCACTGATTGGTCGTTTGCAATCGGCTAAGTGAATAATGGTTCTTGATGCAGGTGCAATGGATGGTTTCTGGGAATCCGGGAATAGATAAAGTTTGTTCTGGGAGAAAAATTAGCGAAGCCACGTCTGCGGGGGCTGTTCGCCCTGAGAGCGACCTCGTTGAATCCGAGCTCGCTGATTTAAGTGCTCATTGAATCCGGGTTATTTTTATTGATTTCAAAGAAGAAAAAAACCAATAGGGAATCTATCTCATCTCGTTGAATCCGAGTTCCACTGTATTCTTCGGTTGTTCACCAATATTGGCCATGAAAGAAAAAAATCATAAATGTTGTACACTCCGTCAATGCAATTTATAAAGTGGTTTTTGTGGGTGGTTGGCGGGTGCTTTGGTGTGGTTTACTCCTTCTTTCCTACCAAACATCTATCGTCCTGATCTATCTTCCTTTTTTATGCTTGTTACTCTCTTGTAACACCTAATCTTCGGCACGTATATGACCTTAGCCTTATTGTGTTGCTAGTGCCGTAAAACTCCTACTAAAACAAAATAATGTGGTTTTTATCATTCAGGAGGCGGGCTGCTTGACCTTGCCTGCTGCCTGTTGAAGCAGTTACTTCTAGTCCCAATTTTATCAAGCCTTGGAGTGGACATCTTGAGGTTCAAACTCTGGTAGTGTTTGACATTGAATGTTTCCATTGTAAGTCCTTCCTGCAATGTTTCCCTCCAACTAGCTCTTCAGCTTGTCTGGCAGGGAACTAGGTTGTTTCATTTCAAAATGGCGCAAGCCATGTCTAGAAAAATAGTTACGTGAGATCAGAATGAGCTCCGACAAACAGAACGGATGGTTTGAGGGCTCCGCTGATAAGTTCTCCTTTTCTTTCCATCTATTGTCTAGCGTCCGTTTTACTCTCTCTGAGAGGATGGTTGGCGGGTGCTCTGGTGTGGTTTGCTTCTTCTTTCCTATCAAACATCTATCGTTCTTATCTCCCCTTTCTTCTTTTTATGTTTGTTACTCTCTTGTTACACCTCAAATCTTCTGGCGCTCACATGACCGTATGCAGTTGCGAGCACCGTAAAACCTCCACTAAAACAAACAAACTCTCTCTGAACTCTCATGACCTTTATTGTGTCATTGTGCTTCTCTTTACTGAAACAACAAGACATGATACAGAAGGCCACTTTCCCCATGTTGATGAGACTGCAAATAGACCCTGTTGTTTTACACCAATCTACATCAAGAGGTTTTAGCTTTCCTTTAAACAATTAGACCTCCATCTGAACCTTGAAGTTGAACCTTGGCAACCCACGAGTGTAATCAGGCACTCATCAATTTTTAGGCGTATGGAGTTACTGGTATCCTCGTTAAGCTTTATGCCTTTTTGCTTATTCATTTGTCTTGCTGAAGGTGAAAAAAAAATATACCTGATCTTTCTTGCTTAGAACTATTAGAACTCGAGAGAGAGATATATATATATACGATTGAAGGAGGTGGCGGTCACCTCTTGTCAGGGGTAAAATTAGTGAAAAAATGGCCGACAAAGTTTATTGACTTCCAATGCTTGAGTGTCCTGAAAACCGGCAAATTCATATTTTTTGTGCCTTTAATCGTTTTTCAGTAAAATCAGAACAGAAATTTTGTTTTCAAATGGACATATAAGGTGTTGAGGAAAAAAACAAACATTGCCCAACGTGCAGAAAAATGCAGATTTCTTCGATTTCATTATTTTGATGAGTGCCTGACTTCACCACGATCCCTATACATTTATAGTATAAGCAGAAGAGAGAGATAATGAATGCGAGTGCGTGTATCTCGGGCCAAACTGAAATTGACAGAAGTTTACATAGTTCCAGCAACAATATCCTCCAGCACCAAAAAGAAAATCTGTTTAGTTTTAGTAGGATTTTTATGGCACTTGCAACACAATAAGGTCATATATAAGTACCGAAGATTAGAGGTGGTACAAGAGAGTAACAAACACAAAAAAGGAGGGGAGATAGAGACGATAGATTTTTTATAGGAAAGATGGAGCAAACCACAGGCCAAGTCCAAGAAGAATGTATGGTCCACTTGGCACTGACCCCCATCTAGACACAATTTACATCTTTTCAAAGGCTGGTTGCTTCAACACTGCCTCTGTCAGGGCCAACACAGGCAGAGTGGGATACAACTTCCCAGCAGAGAGACGAAAATACAGTCAAGCTAGCTATTATTATAATCTGTCCCCGTAGAATTATGCAAATTTAGAAGGCCAAATTATGCACAAAAAAGCAAAATTATGCAAGTTACCGTAACACCATTCGCGACATGTTTTGCACTTTTTCAACGCGAAGTTTCATGATTTTCATGTTTTAAGTACAGGAAAATTGAAAACAGAACATATCAGTATCAGTAATTTGTTCTGTATTTGGAAAAGAAAACAATCCACATCAGTAAAAAAAAAAACCCAACAAAAAATAATAATCTCTGTAACTTTCAGCTATAGATCTATATATATATAATCTATATATCTAGATTCTAGATCAAGATCTATAGAGGTAAGAAAAACGTTTTTAAAAAACGACATCTGGACCTCTGATGCTGGCACATTACTAAAATCAGGGACACCTGTCAAACATGAAACATCAGCAGACATGAGAACAACTTTTGATGGATTGGAAAATTGAACATGCTCAAGTTCAAGGGAACAAAATCAAAACCCATAACCATCGCATAATCCTATCGGGACAGTATAATTACTATAATGGCCACCTGTTTTTTGTTTGATAAGAGTTTTACGTCACTTGCAACACAATAAGGTCATATGAGTGTCGAAGATTAGAGATGTTACAAGAGTGTAACAAACACAAACAACAAGAAGAGATCAGGACGATAGATGTTTGTTAAGAATAAAGAAGAAGCAAACCACACCAGGGCATCTGCTTACCACCCACTGGCCACCTGTGTAAGAGCAGACTGTTAATCACTTGTACAAACAG